TCAGCTCGCCTTCCAACTAGCGAATCCATGTAAAAACTCTATAGCTCACTTGGTACTCCCACAGTCCGACTTCTTATATATCTTATTATGACACCATAGCCATTATTACGCTTGTCTCTTTAATTCGTGCCACGAACTAACGCGCCGTCCTGCGTTGTTATCCACTTGTCTGGTCCTTATATGTTTATTCCATATACCTGAACGTAGATGGAGAATTGCTATGAACGGCCGGTATTTTCGTCGTCGCCATCGCTCTTGTTAACATTGCGCAGCAATAACGTGCCTTGTTTAGTCGTACCATTTATCGCGGTAAATCCGCTTGTCATTTTTTCTCGTGATTGCAGTTTGTCATTGCAGCTGCTGTTGGCGTTGCTCCTGCGGGGCATTCAGTGAGGGTTTTTGAGAATCAGGTACGAAGCGAGCGCCGAAGGCCTACGCGCACGGGAAAGATGGTACGACTCGGCAGCACTTGTTTGCTCACGTAGTTGACAACGGTGCAGCGTTTGTTCTTGGTTAGTGGCATACAACGACAGTGATGATCTCATAAATTCACCGCAGTCGGCGAACACTGATAAGGACGTGGAACGAGAGACGAGGTAAAGTCCGCGATAACCTGCCACAATGAAGACAGAACTCATGCAAAGTGGGGTCTGAACATTGATTGGGGTTGAATCACTCGGCCGGATCCGTAAATTTGCTGGGCTCATATATAGCGCTACTACGGCAATACACTGTTAAGTATGATAATAAGAACTGAAGAGATAAGCCCTTTAGGGCAACAAACATCAAGTAGTTACCACCGCTGGCCATTAATATCAGAAATCGTGTTAATCAAATTCAGTTTCATTACTGGTAGTGGAAAACAAAAAAACATCAAAGAGGACCGCTCAAAAAATATGGACTCTCATCGATAGACTGTGACGGGAAATGCATTTGGGATAGTCCCTGTTTCTGAAAATATTCCCCTTCACTTATAGTAGGTACCCTGTCTTATTATGACCAAAATATTTCCTAGTAATTATCGAACACGATACGTCCATCATTTCGTAGCGCCTATGAAATCGACCCCATGTCAAAGGTTGAACGCACTTTGTGCTACTTTTAGGTTAGCGAACGCACTGCCGATAATATTTTGGGAATATTCTGGTAAAATTAAGATGGACGATATGTGATAAATACACTTATTCTGCTATGAGTGTACAGTGAAAATCGCCTAAATAATGACACAATCAGCGATACTTTCGACAGTCGAAACGCGTTTGTTTGAGTTCGTACTCAGTATTGAAATAAGGCTCCATATAATTGGGCAAATTACAAATAGGAGAAACCAGTGTACCATATAGAAATTATTAACGAGCCTGAACGAAAACAACGACTAAACAATTCTAGTGTGGTGCATGGTAGCGTTTTTACTTTAGCTTTTGAATTAAGCTGACCTCTGTTTTTTACTCGCGGAGAGCTGCTCATAACTTTAACGCATGGCTCGTTTTTATCAACCCAACCATAAACATCGTAAATCTCACATTTTCTACGCTGCATGGTATGTGCCATGATTTTTAGATTGTCCTAAATATACGAAAAAAAAAAACACCGCTATTTCCAGCTCATTTCAACCATGATATTATCTGTATAGGGCATAGATAAGATTACCACATCTCTGTTTGTTTAATAAAAATCGGGACGTCCTCTTCGCTAACCCTGTCGCACCTGTCATGGAAGATTACTTCAGAGAAGTATCTCGTCATCAATATGAAAGTGAATCATTTCTACCACCTTAGATCCCACAGTTAACATCTAACTGTGACTAATTGAGCTACTTTTCAAACAATACTACTCATGCTCCATGCTCCGCTGTATAGTTTTCATATTACTCTTACCCCACGAAGACCCGTTCCAGATTCGCAGTTTTCGCGGCCTGCCTGCATTATCGATTCGTGAATACACGCGGATAACGTATTCACCGGCTCTTGCCATTGTCATTGTTGACACAATAATTGTATGCGTGAGTGAGGTGGCGAGTTCCTCTGTGTCTGGACATAAGCTTGCTTGCACACTCATATCGAAGTCACCACGTCTCACCTATGAGACCGTTTTTGGTGCTGCAGATCTCACTCACTTCTTGCTTCGAATTCTTCGCACTTAGCACTTAGTCCTGTTTGTGTGAAGCTAATGAAGCTACGTCTCCGACTAAACCGATCACTCCCCCCGATCCGAAAAACTACCCCTGACATTTCGTCGTGTACCTGCCAGCAACAAGCTTAATGTCTCCCCTGCTATCTTATTATCCTCTCCCTTGCTTGGGTAATTCTGATAGTGACGCCGGTGCGGTTTCCGTACTGACGCCATGATGGTATCGCACCGAGATTACGGGTGCGTTGTGACGCTCGCATATCGTTTCAGAAGTCTCATCGTGCGATAATCACCTCATAAACCAACGGCAACTGTAAGAGGTAAATGCAACAACGGAATCCACCCTGAAGCAATGACATGTGTCTTTGTCTTCTGCTAGAACCGTTTTGCCATGACCGGTTCGACAACACGGGTCATATTGAATTGGATGTACATGTATACAGCGGCGTTATATATAGCTGTTATACGTCTTTTTCCCTGGTTACGCGCCTACAGTCGTCCTGCGTTGAACTTCTTAAAAATAGCTTTTATCTCATCAGTTTGATGTTAGGATAAGATTAGCCCAACTTCAAATTGACTGTATAGTTTTTTCTTCAATTCCGTATATTCGTAAATTCATCACAACCTAATATAGGTGATATGAGACTAAAATTACCGCAATTCTATCTGTGCAATAGCTTTACTGCTAAAAACGTTCCGCCCTGATCGAAATAGGACCGATCAGAGAATTTAGTAGACTACCATCGTCTGAACACTGGGTGGCCTATTATAGAGTATGCGCATGCTGCAACAGGTCCAAGACTCAGCGCAGGTACTCGAATGAACAACACCTTAAAGTAAGCAGAAAAATCTAGGCACATCTCCCCCCATCTTACCGTGAATTCGCATTGCATAAGTCCAAACCAGTTAGCGCCTTCTCTCGTTTGAACGAACGAAGGACTATCTGCACACAATTAAGGATGATATACAGTTGTGTGTACGCAGTCTTCCATGACTGCCGATGAGACTGATGCATGCATCACAAATCGCTAAACGTACGCGCCGTTAAACTTTGTCATTCGCGATTAAATAGCTCTTTCGGTGAAATTCTGTGAGGACCTTCCTGCTAATCCCTTGTCAGGGTAAAGCCAATAAAAAAAAACTGAATGATTTCAATGTGGTGTTGTCGGTAATCGTTTGCACGGGTTTTCAGTGATCAGTAACTAGCGGATCGATCAGCCACCGAATTTTATCTGGAATTGAAAATCCTTTTTTCCGAATGATTCTACGAACCTTTGTGATTCTAGCAAGTTAGTCTATATCGTACCCACCACTAATTGCGCTCTACATGTTCCGCTTTCCGCCTGCATTGTGCAATGCCCGAAAATCTTAATTTAGAGAGGTATTGAGACGCGTCTTGATTGGCTGCTTGTTAACTCTAGAAAAAAAAAACGAAGCAGACTCATAATCAAGACAAACGTCAGCGGTAGTTCGATTAATATGTAAATAAAAATTACTAACGTCTACCGTTTTTGCGCCGGACACCAGCGTTTTTGTGAAACCTCCAACAATTACAACGGAAAATTACGGCTCACTTTATTAAAGCAGCTTACGATGTGACTGCTGAAAATACGCAAGTCGATCCCTACACGAAAACTACAATAGTGAAACTTCTGCTAGCGCTTCAAACGAAACAAAAAAGCTACAGAGGTGCAGTTTAGACAATTGATGTATTTCGACTACCGTACGTAGTGCGGTGCGATCGTTCACGAAGATTTTAGGTATACGTTCTATGCTACCAAAGTTACGTGGAAGCTTACAAGGACGATAAAACCAAAAACACTTGGTCAGTAGACTTGGGTCTTGTTAACGATCCAGACGACGTTCTTATTTGTTATTACTTCCTCATAGCTGTGCTCACTAGGGAAGCTGGCATCTTGCCATACCTGTTTCAATAAACAGAGACGTCGAGAGTTAACGTACGTAACCATAAAAGATCGTCTCGATAACTGTTTTCACTTGAATGGCGTTCAACATGAATTTTATCCTAATTTATGGCAAAGCTCATATCTACACGTATTGAGATACCAGGACCTGGTTCTATACTAATCATAGTGAACTGACAGCATAATCATACGAATAGGGTAACGATTTAGTTTTACAAATATAATATCATGAGCATTTCCATACATCCTATAGAAGATAAATAGCAACACGTTTCATTTACCGTTATACACATTAACAAAAAAGCTTTTTTTCCGTCTCAAAAAACCATTCTTTCTATCGATGTGTAATTGCAATGAAGTATAGGCAAGGTTACACCGATCGTTCCTCGCGCCATGTCTGTCACATTCTGGAGAACGATGAACGACAACTATTTCGCATCCGCAGCGTAGGAACTTCTTTAAAGTTAGTTAATTTCCCTGCGTTGCTGAAGGGGCATCGTTTGTCCTGAGCACTGTTGTTGCAGGGCAGGCTGAAAGCCACAAAACAGAAAAATCCGGCTGGCTGAAGTTATTTTGAAATTTTCGATGACAACTCACTTCGCTTAGCAAACTAGAAGCAATACGATATCAGTGATTCCGCGATACTAATGATTTGACTAAATCGCCTAGAGAGACGAACTAGCTCGCTTAAATAAGTAAAAACAGTAAATGATAAAAAATGAAAAAAAAAAAATACTAACAAGACAATTGGATATAACAATGGTAAACATGGCATTCTTTATGAAACGCCCATACGGGTGTTTTTACTAATAACCATATTCGTTCTAAGGTCAGACCCGGTCATCGAAAACTGCGAATTACTTAACACTTAAATAAAAACACTGATTTATCCTCGGCACTTTGCTATAGACAGGTACAATTCATTTTGTTCTCTTGAAAAGAAATTTCTCATTGTTAACGTTCAACGAAAAACCCTTAAAAAGCAATATTAAATAGTAAAAAGCTTATTTGCTGTTACAAGTTAACTTCTAGCTAGGTTTCAGTCATTTTCGGGTAGAAGCGCAGGAACGAAGTTGCCTGCAAAAGATATCCAGAAGAAACTTAAATAGATTAACGAATTATGCCTCCAAAAAGTCCTCCAATTATGGAGATCCTATAATTTTTCAGATTTATGGACGCAGCAAGTTATAACGGTTTGTATGACAAGGCTTAGAGATAGTCTTCGTGATAGAGTAGCGGGTAACGTATTTGCCTGCTAATCTTAAGGACATGTTGTAGTCTAAGTTTAAACTCGGACAATGGCCTACGAATAGCGACACCTAAAATAAAACTCGAAATAGATTTCAAATCGTCTCAAATTTATGAGAGAATGTTCGATAAATACTTGTTAGGAACTTGGCTAAACAAAACGTGATTCTGTTATTTAGCGTACTTTCAGATACTCTTTGTGGGGTTCCTTTAAGTTCGGCGATCCCTACGGATCAGCTGTACTTGCGAACTTCTGAGCAAATCGTAACGAGAAATCGACACCAAGATGTAGATCAGGACACAGGGCCGAGTATCAACAAAATGAAAGCGAATCTCATTATGGACGTATCCAGTATAATTTACATTGAAAACTTTTCGACAAGGTCCTCTTACTGAGCGGTCTTTTTCCGGTCAGGATGCCAGCTGTAGCTGCGTATTTTAGCATAACGTTCAGTCTAGAACCAGGCGAATTATCGGTGGCTTCAAACGAGTCGTGGTAATGGGCAGACGGTTAACTGTCGGGGAAAAAAGACCTATGAAAGTGCGATGATAGCCTGTGTCTTTTGTCAGCACTATCAGCTGAGAAAAATTAGATTTCGCTCACACCTGCCCTGCAGCTGTTATCTGTCGTTTTTCTAATGGTAAACGAAATGCAATGATTGTAGAAGTGGCAGTGATCAAAATGTCAGCGTGTCTTCGGACGCCCGCCCAGAAGAAACAACGAACGCTAGTTATTAATAATTTCTTGTCGGTCTTGTATAGCGTTATTGACAGAAACGTTATATCGACATAATTCTTTTGAGCCCTATTTTTGTTACTATTACATCTCAAATAACGTGTGTGTACCGTTATGACAAGCCGTCTAGTCTTCCGGTGTCATCGTATATACATACATATATAATGGCAAACTGAATTGGTATTTATCGTAACGTAATGCACTTTCGCTATGAGGTATATAAACCACTGCTCTCTCACAGGCCAAACGTTTAGCCTAATAGGAACATCTACTTACAATCGTGGCGATACGCATCGGCGCACAGAAGAAGTAACGAGTCTTCCGGCCTAGATACAACGAAGCTTGTCGATCTATTTGCATGGAGCCGCATCCTGTGACTTGCTACTGGCCGTATCTAAGTTCATAAGCGATGATTGTTAAACATATAGAAATGGTATATATCAGGAAGAAAGAAGCTGTCGAAAAACTTCATCCCCCGAATGATGTCGAACTTACACAAAGTGGGCAGGCGGGGCATGGTCGACAGCTGCGTTCGAATAGAACGAGCCGTTGTCAGCCTATAAAATAATTCTAAGTAAACTATGACAGCTTTGTCAATTTACTACCGGCACAATGATCTGTAATATTTTGACATAGTTTTCCATTTCAAGCGCATACGTACTTCCATTGGCGTCAGTTGATCAGCGGTGACGTTATTGTGCTAGTTACGGCCGCATCAGAATGTGCCTTTGCTACAATTATTACTAAATGTGCTTGAATACGTCATTTACGCGCACGGAAACCCTTGTGGAAAATAAGATATAATAGGTAACTTGATTAGCACACCTGAAGAGACTGATGATAACGATTAGTAACAATGATGACTAATTTCGTAAAATTCAAGACGAAGTTACGACTGCAGTTGATGCTGCCGCAGATGATTCAGTATCCAGTGGCTCGTACCATCCAGTTAACTGTAATGCTTGTCAGCGGCTACGCTAAACACCACAAGATTTTTTACTTATGCGAGACTAAGTTGGCCGAAATTGAAAAACAGAGACTCACAAACAGAGACAACGGTCCAATTGCTAACCCTCCGATATTGATAAGGACAACACCTGATGGCTTCGATAACTTCCTTCCCTCAGACTGCCCCCATCCTAGACACCAATCATTCGCGTAGTAGGGCACCTTTCTACAAGCGGTTGCTACTGCCGACGCCGTTGTTGCCGAACGAATAAAGCGTAGAACATTCTCATCAGCCACCATGGTAACGGCTGGACGGGCCAGGCCGAGCGTGTATTGGCATCAAGCGAACGGCAGGTCTCAGTTACCGTGACGTATCACTCCTGGCGCAGTCATTACGACCGGTAGCGTCCAACATCGGACACAAGCTGTTCACAGCTATCCGGCAGTAATAAACAACAACAATAACAAACAATAATATCAGACGTCGAGGTCGCGGCTGTACCGAAATGCCCGTTCAATCAGCGTCTACGCTCCTGATGCTGATGCGAACGAATGCTACAAACTATTGCAGTAGCAGAAGCCATAACAAGTGCGCGCGCGCTATTACAGTTGCGGTAGGCAACAATGATGCGGTACGATGGCACGATGAGGCACTATAGCTTCGTAACGCACGACTATATTACGTATCCTGTTCGTCCGGTCGAAGATCATGACTTTCATTAAAAACTTCTATCGATTGGGTGGCCGTCCTCCGAATCGTATGGGTGTTGACGATAAACTGTACTGCAGAACATCGACTGCCCTGCCCTTAGGTCCGCCGAACGCCGAGCCGTGGTGAAAGCAGAAACGCGACGGCCGGAGCGCTAGGTCAGTATTAAATACTGCAAGCATTTCGTCTACCACGATCTATCTATGTCGGCAGGCCTGTTCGTGTCCTACCGCAACGGGCTAAAGCGCTTCTCGACTACTCGCGGAGCTTCGCTCTTATGTCCGCATGCCTCGGAAATATGAATGTTCCTTAAGAGTTGTGACATTCGTGTGTGGTTCCTACTTCGTTTGTTATGGACCGTTGAAGTATCTCGCTTATCTCGGAGTTAGATACTAGACGCGTTCGTTCGCAGCACAGATTTCTAAGCGACTGTTCTGCTGTGGGATGGTTCCATTTTTGCACTAGTGCTATAGGGCGTGCTTCGCACTAATAAAATACTGCCCTAGTCGCTCGCTTGAGATAGCGCCTGCGGCAGAGGTTGTTGCGTCTGCCGATATTGCAGTAGGCGTTGACACGTATGATTGTTGCTATTTTTACTGTTCCTTGCAAAGCATTCATAAATTGAATCGTGTCACGAGCTGAGAGATAACCATACGGGTAACGCTGACAACATTCGGCATAGGTGTGACTTCATAACACAGTTTACAGTGCAGTAAGGTAATCATTGCCATAGATGCAGAGAAGACAACGTACGATGACTGCAAGCCTAATACTACTCAAGTGCTCTATATGAAGGCAGCGGTACGATTTTTTCGTCATGAGTGGCATCAATTCATGTTATTGACATGAGGTGTCTATGCTTGATGCCTGCCGATGATGCATCTCTTTATATGCTTAAGCTTTAAACCATTAATATATGGGAATAGCTGTATGCTAACTGAAGGTAGCAGCACCTCATTCAACTAGGTTTTAGGTCATATCCATCAATCATGAACGTATTTTCTATCGATCAGCTGAGAGCTTGGCGTAGGTTAACGAACACTCGAATGAGGTATATGTCGTGGCCAGTCATAATATGCAACCAAGGTATCTTTACTACACTACCTGCACCAAATGTGGCGTTACATGAAGCTGCCAGATTATGGTAGTAACCGTTAAATTAAAAGTGCCGAGAATACCGTGATGGATAGTGTTGAAGTGCCTGCTACAAGTATTCCTAATCAGTAGTCATTTTTCCCATCAAAACTGATCAAATGAAGTATTAAAACAGACACGAAGATGGACCAGCTATTATTAGACGAGCGACTATGGTGTTTTACAGCCAGGCCTTGCCGTCTTATCGCAAAACGCATGGGAATCAACGCCAAACGTATCATTATTCATAGTGTGAAAGCTTTACGCCGTCTACCTTCTGAGCTGAGTTAAAATCTTTGAGTCTGCGTTATGTGTACATACGTTTGTCATTTTTTGTATCAGTTACCACGCGATTATTTTAGCTATTAACGAGAAAATTGCATCTATTTTTAAAATACAGCGAAAAAAAACTGCCGTGACATATGGGCCGATGGCAGAGGAAATTTTAGTGTGACCTATTTATTGTCGTTTGTTCTCTGTAGATCACGCTTTTTTTTTGTGCGCATTATTGTAATTGCCATCTCTGTGTGTACATATAAATAGATGATCAGGCAGCCACGTGTCCAGTGGCCTGGGATAAGGCTCGCAATCGCTGATTGCATCTCAGAACGATTTCCTACGTGCTATTGATGTTATCCCTTAAAATGTATTTTGTAAGAAATCACGCCAAGGCACAGGTTAATACAGGTAAATGCAAATGAAAAAAAAATTATATTAGAGGAAAAATTTAGGTAATATAATTACAATAAATAAACGGCGAATATATTTTTACGTTACGATTAATCGAAAAATTATATATTACTCATAATTTCTACCGCACAAGCGGAACTATCGTAATAGTCTGCCATAGTTAACAGCTCCCTTAAAATAACACACCAATTAACCAAACAATAGATAAAAAAAAAACAATATGGCGTCGTTTTTGTACGTTACACTCTGAGGTTTGTGATGGATGTCCTAATCATATTGCAGAGCGCAGGAAATTGGTTGCTTCTTCGTTGTTACCGTAGCTCAAAATGCCACCCTACTTCGCATTCGACATTATCGCGTTAATCAATGTTTCATTTACATGATCTAGATGTCGCTGTGGCTTTTCGTCCATGATCACCCCCCTTTTCTCTCCCAACCGTTCACCTCATCGCAGTTCCGATCTCTTCTATCTATTCCACGGTTATTTGATCACAGCCATCGACGTTTATCGGGTAGAAAGAAGTTTATCTTTCATTGGAAACTATGTTCAGCGTTGATTAGAAGGCTTGCTGTTCGTTTCGTTCATGCTTACGACAAACATCGTTTAGAAATAACTCGGGGAACACATCGGCGACGCTGTCGAGTTATATTGTATGTATTAGCAGCAATCGTCGCACCTGGCGATGCACACGAGGAGCGTTTATGTACACCAATAGCTGTTCCATGTCCGCTAGTCTACCGGCCGCGATGTAAGGGCTCAGCTGTTCGCGCCGTTTGTAATTGGTTTTGTGTGTGCACTGACGCTATAGCGATCCGACGAAGGCGGCAGTGGACGGACCTGTGGGTGACGGCGCTCGTAGCAACGGCGACAGTAACTGCCGTTTTCAACGAACACAGACTAAAACATACAACTCGCAGACTTGGACATTGGCGCTACTAAAACGATGCGTTTGGTTGCTCGGCGCTGCTTTAGTGCTCTATCGATGGGGCCTTTCGGTGATTAATGAATGAATAAAGGAAAATCAGTCGCGGCGGCGGCGGCGGCAGCAGCAGGAGGGTAGACTGCGGAAAAACGAGGAGGAGAGACAAACAGGAGAAAAAAGGGAAGTGACAAAAAACAGAAATAGTCCTCGCAAAGGAACTGGATCACAAACGCAGAGACAAACGAGCATAAAACGGCCAGACAAAGCCGAAGAGCGATTAAGTAGGTACCAGCAAAAAGCGCACTGGTATCTGTTGACGGAGGCAAGAAACTATGACGTTAACTCGGCAGTAAAGTTACCGCGCAGGAAATTTCAAAAAGATATCGTCTCCCGGATCTCTGCAATTGGTTGAATCTGCTGATTCAGAAGATACATGGAAGTGTATTAAATACAAGTCGTGTTTACAGGAAAAAAATTATGATGAAACGCCTCTACTAGCGAACGCGCACGCAGACCTCCCATGTTACAGGTTTTGTAAAGTGTCAAGCGACCCGCAAGATTGGGTGCACAATGCGACGAAAAGTAGCAGCCTGCTGCCGCAATGCCTGCCTGAACAAGGTTTTTAGTCGGAGCACAAGAAATCGCTTTATCAAACAGTAAATTACGTTCCATGTGGTCGCTAAACTGATCGGCCAACCCCGATCTAGCTCGTTCACATATCAAAACTAAGTACGACGAAAAGCTTCGTTAGAGAGACAACGAGTGTAACCAATTGGTGCTGTTATCTGGTCACTCGATATAAATTATTTTGTTGCCTTCGTTCTTATAGTTACAGGGCGACGTTGCAAAGTATCACAGCCTATGTTGGTGATAAATTAATAGCTGAAATAGCAAAAAATGGCAGGTCTACATCGTTAAGAAAAAATTCACGTGGCTGTTATTTACAGCCGTGTGGAGGGAAGACATCGAAACCTCTGGAGTTGTTTGGGTGTCTGTGTTCAGAGCCGACCCTTAAGAGGATTTTTTTCGATTGTTTTGATCTTAAATGGTGTCGAAATTGAAGGACGGTTTGAGAGTATCCCTGATTTTTTTTAGTTAGCAGCGGTATCAGTGAACGATGATGTGTTACTGCCGTCGGGCTGGCTTAAATTTATAGTGTAGGGATACAGGTACACAATTACTTGATCACTCGCTAGGTTGGTAGCGATAACCCCTTTTTTCGGCCGCGTATTATAAACACGTAGCATTATTTTGTTAAAAACACGATGACGTAAGGGAAATAGTTGGACAGGGATGCGGTG